TGAGAGTGCTGTTACTGAGTGCAACACAATTTCAACATTAATGCATACGAGTTTTAAGATCCTTTACTGACTATGGGAGTGCTTAGCAGAATCTACAAACTGCCCACTTGCAGTAACAGCTTAAGGCTCTGTCAGGCCTCTCCTGTTCCTCACCATCCTTCCTCTTACTACAGATGGCACGGCAACAGCTACTTTGATGGAGATGATTTCAATCTATAGATTGCACTACCCTAATCTAAATCAGTGTTTTATTTTGTAAAGTATAGCTTTTAGATCAATCTACGGTAGATGTGATTCTTAATGTTACTAAAGGAGATGCTATACCACAAGCTCACTGGCATCTGTTGGGATGAATCTGATGGGATTCATCCACGGGTGCTGAAGGAGCTGGCAGAGGTGATTGCTGAACCGCTTTCGGTCATCTTTGAGAAGTCTTGGAAGACGGGGAAGGTGCCTGAAGACTGGAAGATAGCCAATGTCACCCCGGTCTTCAAAAAAGGCAAGAAGGAAGACCCAGGCAATTATAGGCCAGTCAGCCTCACCTCTGTCCCTGGAAAGGTGATGGAACAGCTTGTACTGGATGTCATCTCCAGACAACTGGAAGAAGAGGAGGTTATCAGGAGTAGTCAGCACGGGTTCACAAGGGGGAGGTCGTGCTTGACCAACCTGGTAGCCTTCTATGATGTTGTCTCTGGCTGGGTGGATAGGGGGAGAGCAGTGGATGTAGTCTACCTTGATTTCAGCAAGGCATTTGATACTGTCCCCCATGACGTCCTTATAACAAAGCTGAGAAAGTGTGGGATAGATGAGTGGACAGTGAGGTGGGTTGAGAACTGGCTGACTGGCAGAGCACAGAGGGTCGTTGTTGTTGGTGCAGAGTCCGGTTGGAGGCCTGTAACCAGCGGTGTTCCTCAGGGGTCTGTGCTGGGTCCGGTCTTGTTCAACATCTTCATCAATGACCTTGATGAGGGGATAATGGCCACCCTCAGCAAGTTTGCCGATGATACAAAGTTGGGAGAATTGGCTGACACGCCTGAAGGCTGTGTTGCCATTCAGCAAGACCTGGATAGGCTGGAGAGCTGGGCAGAAAAAAACCGGATGAGGTTTAACAAAAGCAAGTGTAGAGTCTTGCATCTGGGGAGGAATAATTCCATGCACCAGTACAGGTTGGGGGATGAGCTGCTGGAGAGGAGCTCTGCGGAAAGGGACCTGGGTGTCCTGGTGGATGACAGGTTGGCCATGAGCCAGCAGTGTGCCCTTGTGGCCAAAAAGGCCAATGGCTTACTGGGGTGCATCAAAAAGAGCGTGGCCAGCAGGTCAAAGGAGGTGATCCTCCCCCTCTACTCTGCCCTGGTAAGACCTCATCTGGAGTACTGCGTCCAGTTCTGGGCTCCCCAGTACAAAAAAGACAGGGATCTCTTGGAAAGAGTCCAGCGGAGGGCCACGAAGATGGTGAAGGGCCTGGAGCATCTCCCCTATGAGGAAAGGCTGAGTGAACTGGGTCTGTTCAGCCTTGAGAAAAGAAGACTGAGAGGGGACCTGATCCAGGTCTATAAATATCTAAGGTGTGGGGGGCAGAATGGCGAGGCCGGACTCTTTTCAGTGGTGAGTGGAGACAGGACAAGGGGAAATGGCCAGAAACTGGAGCATAGGAAGTTCCGCACAAACATGCGCAAGAACTTCTTTACAGTGAGGTGACGGAGCACTGGAACAGGCTGCCCAGGGAGGTGGTGGAGTCTCCTTCTCTGGAGATGTTCAAGACCTGCCTGGATGCCTACCTGTGCGACCTGCTGTAGGGAACCTGCTTTGGCAGGGGGGTTGAACTCGATGATCTCTGGAGGTCCCTTCCAACCCCTACAATTCTGTGATTCTGTGTGATTCTGTGATCTCAGAAACTGTTGCTGTCATCCAATTCAGTTTTTACAGATTCAGTTCTCCACTGCACTGCACTCCAATGTCTGTCTCCAATGTTAACTTGCATGGACTTATTCTATTTCATTTTTCATCCTTCTAGCACCAGCAACAAGTACATCTAGTAAGACTGCAACACACCTCTCACTTTGGATCTTGGTCAGTACAAGCCAGATAACATATATTAGCCACTCAGCAGGCCAAAGGCATTTTAATGAGATTGCTCCCAGCCACATTTTCTCAAAGCACTGGCCCAGTTCCTTCCTGGATTTGACGATACAACTGCTTCCCATTTCTGCCTTTTCCTGAAGAATGCTGCCAGCACCTTACTGTGTAACTTGGATGCAAGCTTAGCATTGTCAGTGTAGTAGTCAGCACTTTTATTGGCGCAGAGGGGAAGCACACATTACTGAACAGAAGACAGAAACATAATGAGAGGTATGGCAGGCTAAAGGCACGCTGGATCACCACTGGAATTACATTTAGATAGAAAACAGTGTTTATACATTAATGCCAAAAACAAATCCTCAAAACAAATCAACAAAACAATTACACACATACTAGCACTTTCTTGGCATGACCCATTATATTTTATCTTGTAATACATGAGATCCGTCTTTCCTAGTTAATGAAATTAACATCCATGTGTACATACAGGATCTCTAGTTAATCATACACAAGGGCTTGGAGAGATGGTGCTGTTTTGTGACTGAAAACACCAGTGTAGCTGTGTAAGAAAAAGATCATGAAGCAGAATCTTCTGGAAACTATGCTAAGGTATATAGAAAGCTGTGGGGTGATTGGTGACAGCCAGCAGAGCTTCACTAGGGGCAAATCGTGTTTGACAAATGTGGAGGCTTTCTACAATAGACTTACAGCACTGATGTGCAAAAATAAGACCAAGCAATGTCATATACCCAGACTTGTGCGAAGCATTTGACACAGTCATGCACAATATTCTTATCTATAAAACAGAGAGGCACTGAGTTGACAGATGGACCAACCTGTGGGCAAGGAATTGGCTGGATGTTCACATCCAAAGAGTCATAGGCAATGGCTTGATGCTCAGGTGGAGACCAATGATAGGTGATTTCCCTCGGGAGTCTACATTGGGACTGGTATTATTACCAAACATCTTTGTCAGTGACATGGACAGTGAGACTGAATGCAGTAAGCAAGTTTACAGATGACACTAAGCTGAGTGGTGCAACTGACACAATGGAGGGAAGGGATGCCATCCAGACATAGCTGGACATGCTTGAGAGGGAGACCCATGCAAACCTCATGAAGTTCAACAAGGCCAAGTGCAAGGTTAAGCACTTGGGTTGGGGAAATCCCAAACATGAATACAGACTGGACAATTAGTAGACTGATAGCAGCCATGAAAAGGACTTTGGTGTAGTGATAGATGAAAAAATGAGTAAGAGCCAGCAACGTGCACTGATAGACCAGAAAGCCAATCATGTTCTGGGTTGCATCAAAAGAACTGTGACCAGCAAGTCAAAGGATGTGATTCTATTCCTCTACTCTGCTATCATGAGACTCCACCAGAAGTCTGTATAAACTGTATAGACCACTGTATAGAGGTCTGGGGCCTCAAGCATAAGACAGTCATGGATCTGTTGGAGGAAGTCTACAGGAGGGCCACAAAGGTGATCTGTAGCATCTCTCTGGTGAAGAAAGGCTGAGAGCTGGATTTATTTAGCCTGGAGAAGGCCCCAGAGAGACCTTGTGGGTGGCATTCCAGTACTTAAAAAGGACTTAAGGGAAAGATGGGGAGGGATTCTTTATCAGGAAGTGTATCAATAGCACAAAGTGAAATCTTTTTAAACTAAGAGGGCAGGTTTAAATTAGATATTAGGAAGAAATTCTTTGCCATGAAGCACTAGAATAGATTGCCTAGAGAGGTTATGGATGCCCCATCCCTGGAAATGCTAAAGGCCGGTTGGATGGGACTTTGAACAACTCGATCTAATGGAAGGTATTTCTGCCCATGGCTGAGTGATTGGAACTATATGGTCATTAAAAATCCCTTCTAAAGCAAACCATTTTATGATTCTGTGGAGATACAGAAACACTATCAGAATCTATGAAATCCTCTATTTCCAGCTCCAGAATCACTTTGAAGTTTTGTTGTTAGCTGATGCAAGTGTATACCTGCCAACTGGGGAACAGTTTTAGCAGTGCTCAGCAACACACAGAATGACTTCTGACCAGCCGCTCAGCCCTTTGGCTGTGTGGTGAAGAGGAGGGCATGGAGAGTGCTCGCCCAACCCCCTGCAGTGACTCACATAGCAAAGATGGACTGAAACTATTGATGATGCCAGTGGGCCATGAATACTTCAGGATTCAGGAAGGCAAACTGCATAATCAAACTTTTAGAAAGGGAAATACGCATGATTTTCTCAGCAATTAATTTTTCCAAGACAGATTTTCTTCCACCTACTTATTTCCCTTAATTATTTAAAACTTTCCTTATAAGGAGGCTCAAATTCATCATGTTACAGCTCTTGATAACAAGGCACATATTTCATATTTTCTGAACTATCTAATAGCTAGCATATTACCACTGCCTTTCCATCTTTGACTTGACAACTACATCCAAGATAAAGATCCACACAGCAGTTCTGCCCGAAGTGCTGTTGCTGTACTTTACTACATATGAAATTCTGTTTTACATACACTACTACATCTTCCTCGCAGTTTAGCATTTTCCTTGTTTTGTTTTTTCCTTAAATTCATGATGAACACATTTGAAACATCAATATATTTTTGGTGGCATTGCCTAAACCAAGAAAATTGCACCACACCACAATTTTCTTTTTACTAGCTTACTTCAGAAGCACATCACTGAATTGCCACTGGATAGTCAGGCTTTCAGATCTCTTTTTGTAGTTTCAGACAAATTTGTTGCTTTCTTTTAAATAACCACTATTTAATAAAGGTAATAAATTTTAAGTTTTAGAGGAAAAATCATCAGAAGATTTTCAGCTTTCTGATTTGCTCCACAAAGCTTACCTTTGTAAATAGAAATCTGGAAAATATACACAGAGTAGCAATATTGCAAGAAAAACAACTTCTCTCTTTACCTTTGTTTCTGCAGGTTGGTCTTGTTTGATCATTTCCTCATTCGGTTCTTCCTCCACATTAGTATTAATTTCATTGTCAGATGGGAGCAGTGTATCACTGCTTGGAGTCCTGTAGCAGCTGTTAAGTACTGATCCTTCATAGGAAGTTGTAGTTTCCAGAGAATCTCTGGATGTGCTTATTCTTTCTCCATTTATCAAGCTGCTGTTGATGGAATTATCTGGAACCAGGATGGACACAGTAGAATCTCTGCCAAGTATCCTTCTGTCCTCACATTCCTGGTCTTGTGCTACTACTCCATTGGCCGTGTGTGTCTGTGCAACCTGAGTTTTGTCGGTATTACTGTTTCCCTGTTTTAGCAGTGGGTGTTGGGAGGGGAGTTTTGGCTGAGGTGGTGGCGTTGACCCATATCTTCCGTGAGATTTAGAGACATTGAGAGCAGAGGAATCTTTCTTCAAGTCAATAGGACTGAATGGGCTAAAAATACCAAACAAGCAAAACACAGGAAAAAAAAGTTAAACAGTGTTACAGAAAACCCCTGTTATGGGGAGGAGGACAGCTAGACCATATAAACAGTTCCTCCAAACTATTTCTTCCAGCATTAATACCAGGAAGTTCATTCCATCAATACTCAAACTTTTCTATTAAAATACAAAAATGTATCTCCTCCCAGAAAAGCTGCAGTGGTATCCGTATTGATTCACTCCATCCTCATCTCTCCTGTATCTCAGTTTTTAAAATGAAAGGCAGTATCATTGACTACATGCAGGAGATGAGGAACACAACCTGCCCCAACTATCCCAGAAGACTAGTAGCAGAAATGGGGAAAGCATTTTTGTCTGCCAGATTCTAGTCCAATGCCTAAACAGGGAGCCTGTTTCCTAACTGCCTGCTAAGAATGCATGAAAAACATCAGAGAACACTTAGCATCCCTTCCCTTAAATCAGCATATTAAAGGCAGAGCTTCTGGTTACTATCCCATTTCTTTCCCCAGTTTTCCTTATATTTCCTTCAAGATGCATCTCTTCTGAAGGCTTTTCCCCTGCATATTTTATGTCAGCTTTGAACATATGTTATCCCTCATTTGTACCTTTCACTGTCTCTTTCTGTCAGATTTTTGAGAGTTTGAATTTTAAGATAATATACATGTTAGCCCACTCTGTAGAAATGTTTGGCTCTATTACAGCAAATAGAAAAAAATTCACTGAAACCACAATAAAACTTGAGCATTTGGATTTTAAGTACATTTATCAAACCATATTCAACCTGAAAAATAGAAACATGACTGTGCTCTAACACAGTTCTTAGTATGGACTATTAATCTACAAAGAAGTTGATGATTAGTTATAAACTGTATATTTACTCCTTATTTATAGGATGGTTTACACAAACACTGCAAGCATATTCTGAACTTTTATACATTTAAGACAAAAAATATATACTCATATAACAAAGGAAGTAAATAATTTCTTACTTAATTGTGTAAAAACTGTACCATTAGAAATCAACTCTCAGAACACTGAGAAACTTAACTATGAAATTCATTCACGTTTTTCCACTGCATGCATATGGCACAGTGGTTTAATTACCTGGTTGTTTTTGTTTTTTTTCTTGTGGACTATACAGACTAATGAAAACATCATAATTGGCAGTCAGAGTTTGCACTTCATGAACACACTACTTAGACATTTGAAAAGCAATAATTACAAGTGAAGTTCACCTTCATGGAAAACTCAGTCTGCGAGGTAAGGTTATTTTAAAAATGTGCACCCAGGCACAGCAGGACACTAGGCATGCTACTTAGGAAAGTTTCTCAACAGCAGAGAGCAGAGTTTTGAAGAGAATTTATCAGTAGACAGATATTCTTTGGTGTACTTAATGAATAACATTAGCCAAAATAGCCATTCAGCTTCTCCCACACCTAACTCCCCGCAAAAAGCCCTTATGCTCTACAAGAAAGAAAGTTTTTGCAGCTTTCTTGTTGAGTTTATTTGCATACTATTTTAAGAGGGCCAGTCCAATCCAGCAGGTTTGGATAATAGGAAGAAATGTAGGGCTTAGTGGCATGAGGGCACAATGGACTTGTGGAACACTCTTTCAGAAAAACAAAATCACAGAAGGCAGTGTTTCTATGGACAGGGAGATTCCAAGCAGCAGCTCACATCCTTCAGGACAGGACATCTTGATGTCTTTATATTGGTCTTTATTTGTCAAAGGCAGAATTTTAGGGAAATTCTTTTTTATGCTTCTTATTCTCCACCTCCACAAATGCAATCAAAAGCTAACTGCTCAGTCTTAAAGCTCATAACCAACCAAACAAAAAAACTAAAAGCACACAGTATCGTATCTTATTTGAGAACTTTTCGTTAGTTAACAACTACTAGAAAGAGGGATCAAAGAAGTAAGAATGTTTTTCTAGGGTCACTACAGCATTAAAAAGACTTGGACAATGTTTTGGAGGAAGAACAAGAAACACTGCTAACAAGACTAGGGACTCAAACTAGTTTAATTCACAGGACCTTCAGTGCTGCCTTACAGGTTTTTTTTTCCCCACTTTTCTGTAGTTGCCATGACAGCAAATGAAATTAAGCCTGTGCAAAATGATGGAAGTTTCTTGTAGATGAAGCTCTGAAATTATTTCTGTTCCATTAAACAAACCTATTTATGCAGCACTCAGCTGTCTCTGCATAAAAAATTAAGTTTCCTCCATCTCAAGGAGGAATTCTTTCAGTGAAAATCTTAACTCTCAACAGTTTTGTTAGGACCTGCTCTGTTGTACATCACACATTCAGCCCTGTATGAGCCTCAAAACATCGGTATCCCGAAGAAACAGAATGAAGCAATGTCCAATACTTGTAAAACTCCAGTGCCACTGGACTGTTTCCTGAACTGTTTCTCTGTCATGGGATTTCTGGAACGTCACTCTCTTTATACAGAACAGATGTATTCAGAACTTCTGTTTCAGAGCTTATAATCCTTGTCATATGCATCCAATTAAAAGGCACACAAGAAGTACTACTTTGTGAACTAACTGTATCTCGTGTTTCTCCAAGTCTTTCTTGTAAAATGTAGTATAAAAAGTAAGGAAGATTCATACATTTGACTAAGATCACCAAGTACTACAATGCAAACAGTTTCATGGATACATGCCACATCAGTACATCTAACTTGCTTCACATGAATAATCTGAAGACTTTAGGTCAGTATAAAAGGCAAGTCAGGACTTTCCTTTTTATAGGTAAATAGAGAAATGTGGGTGTTTTTTTTTTGTTTTTTTTTTTTTTTGTTTTTTTCCTGCAAGAACAAAAGAATTTAGGATTCACTCAAAAGTTTCATTCCAAAATCAAATTGCTGATGTTTTCCAGGATGTTTTAAAAATGCTGCAAGTAGCGTGTGTTTTGGGGTTGGTTTTTGTTTTTCTGTTATTTGCTTGCTTAAAAGCAAAATTCAGATTGGCGCCTCATTAAAATGAACAGGCCTGTGCAGACCAAATACACAACTGCATCGTTTCAAAACATGCTGTTTTGTCGTCAGCTCCTCTGGCAGAGACAGGTTTGAGCACTACCACAATATCCTTCTTCCTACAGAACCACGAAACAATTAAAATTACATCACATACCTGCATCCCTCAAAACGGTGGATGAGATCTGACACTTTACTGGACTTTTCTTTTGTGACACTAGAAACAGGAGTAGGTGTATCTTCCTCCATTCTTGGCTTCGAACTTGATAAAGCTTTATGCCTAGAGGTTTGGTATGTAACAGGTGATAGCTTCTGCAGATGAAGTGGCTTTGGAGGCACTGCAAACAGTAAGAGTGATCAGCCAGTTGGCAATTGTTTCTTTAAACTGTCAGAAAACATGAGATCTTTAGCGTAAGAAGTTATCACAGTAACTATTTATTTGATGTACCTAGCTTTAAATTGCTTTATGAATTCAGGAACTTCATGTAAGCTTTTATGTGCTGTGTTGTATCAAGCATCTTCTTATATTATTAAATTATATAAAAGCCAAACCACATGCTACTGAAGCTAAAGTATTAGGATCACTCTCCCTTCCATTTTCTTTTTCTTTTTCCCCTTTGGTGTTCTGTAGTAAACTCATATGTGGCCTCCACAAATGCAGATTTTATCCTAAAAAAGCACTGAGCATAAGATCCAACCATGTTGTGGAAGTCACGAATCTTTCCTCAGGAGAGACTTAAACTGCTGCTCCACTCTGGTTCCCTCATTATCTTCTCCCTCACTACTTCAAAAATGATTGTCAGTGGAAAAGAAAGATTTGCCTTCAGCTTCAATCTTTGTCTGTGTATACTGCTGAAAATCTGAGTCCCCCAAAATATTTTTTTCTTTCTTCTTTTCAGGTATCTTGACTATAAACTCTTGTTACATTGTTAACAATCAGCCCTTGTTTAACAGGGTAATGACTAGAAGACAATTCTGTGATTCTGTGACTAGAAGACAAGTCATTGCCTGTGGCAGTAACAGCTCCTTGAGCTCCACAGGCAGCACAGAGGTGCGTTGCAGAGCTTGCAACTTCCCCCCAGCAGGTATGATCTCACATGGCAGCAGAATTAGCACTGATAAAGGATGCTCAACAGATGGATGTGAAAAGGCCATATCTGTCGTATCACTGACCCAAGATAAGCTTCCTGACCTAGCCTGTAATACCTATGCACCATAGGAGTTAGGTTAAACCCTGCCAACCAAAATTTGAAAGTGGTAATAAAAAAGGTTATTGCAAATATACTATCACAGATTATGACATGGACGTATGATGTTGATGGAATGCTTGATTTAGGATGACTTTTCATCCATATCTTAGATTAAATTTATAGGAAGCAATATTTGTCAGTGCTTCCAATAACCAAATTGTACTTAGAGACTGCAGTGATAGCTGCATTCTGAAAAGTATCATGAGAGGCACAATGAAGAAATTAATGTAACACATTTCAACTGTATTAACTACAAATGAGAGAGAAGAAAGGTGTTCAAGGCCAGGTTGGATGGGGCCCTGAGCTGCCTGGTCTAATATTAAATGTGGAAGTTGGTGGCCCTGCCTGTGGCAGGGGGGGTTGGAGATTCATGATCCTTGAGATCCCTTCCAAACTGGGCCATTCTGTGATGCTGTGAAAGGAAAACATTATAGTTCAAATGCTTTAATGTAAGCGCGTGTATCTTTGTTTCTTTCCAACTTTCTTTGTATTTGTTAACACAATGAAAAAGGAAGTCTGGAAAAGGATGCAGTGCAGAAACAAAACTGAAAGTGTTGTTATTTTCAAATAGTTACAAAGCAATACCGAAACAAGCAGAACATAAAATTGTCTAAGTGCTGCAGTATGCCAACAGAAGCCTTTCTGATGGAGCTGTGTGCATTTGTTCAGCTGCAGCTGCAATATTGTGGAGCAGTTTCTCCTACACTCTGTCTTCCTAGGGAGCCCTGAGAACTCCTGGCAGAATTAGGGCAACGAGCATCACCGAGCTGTCAAAGTGCTGAATAGGTTACTGCACTGACAAAGGCAGCGGGACAGCTGAAAAACGCGAGACAAGCGGCCTGGGAAAAGCAGGCCACGTAACTGAGTGTAGGCATTGCCATTCCCTCAGGGTGGGAGACAGATGGGAAACAGGACATCGGGTGGATTTACTGATCAGCAGTGGACTGGCTTCTGGCTCTTGCAATACACTGGGCAGGGCCTGTGGTTCTGTGTGTTCTTACTTGATGGACTCTTATATCAGTTCTTTCGTACATCTCACAAGAATTCATATCCACACAAGGATCTATTAAAACTACTAAACTTGAGGGAGTTCACATCTACTAATTAAGGAGAAAGAATTAGTTCAAAGCTATTTTTGCACCGAATCCACTGGGACAAAAATTAAATTCTAAGACATTCCATAGAAGGGCTGCACACTTTTGTATCCATTACTAATAAAAAAAAGGAAAGAAAAGAACCACCAAAGTAATAGCAATTCAGTACTGCAAGCACAAGGAACCTCCAGTCAAACTGGATTACACCAGTATATTGAAAATTCCTTTGAGATCTTCAGAAGAGAACCACAAACCAAACAGCCATATCAAATCCTGAGTTTAAGTTATATTCTTTTTGTTTTTCTATTACCATCTATCAGGCAGGATTTCCCCCTAATCAGCTGCTGCTATAGCTGCTGTTGGTTTTAGAAATAGAGCAGTGGGAAAAAGACAGTCACAAGATCAAGGAAAAGAAAAGCATCAGTAGTATAAAAAGCCCTTGTAACCCTTCTGTAAGGTCAACATTGTTAACAGGGATTATGGAAAACAAATTGCATTAATACTTCCCTCAATGTACTTCTGAAGTGCTTTGTTTTAATCAGATTATTTTTCAGTGTGCACACGGCAAGGATCTTAAAGAAAAAAAATGAGAGAAGACTGGAGCATTGTAATACACTGTATAATACAGAGCTCTGTTCAAGTCTATAAATACTCTTGTCTCTCTGCTGTAGAATTTTGAGCTTATTAGGAAGTCTGAACAGCATATTCTGCCTAGAGAAAACCCTTCAGTATATTCAGGTAGCTACTACTGTAACATGCTAGCCAAAATGTGCAATTAAGGTTTAAGTTGTAGTCCCTAACATGCATTCAACTCTGTACACGCATAAGGAAATGGAAGGTAATTTTAGACACACCTAAATGTTGCACCAAATAGGTGCAACAGCTTCAGCCGGTGTCAAGGTATGTTATCAAAAGCCATTTATCACTTCTCTTGGAAAACACCTATTCATTACCCCTCTATGCATTTAAACTATGATGGTTAAAATGCTGTTAAATTTTAATTTAGTGAAAATACAAAGCCAAAAGTTTCTGTGATAAGTAATTGCAGCTATTCTGTCTCAATCATCCTGCATTGTCTTTTTCATGCTCTGTCACTTACATGTGGACCAAATAAGTGCAACTGGACAGACGCCAAAGACTGACACCAGCAAGAAAAGTACAAAGTAACCAGTAACCTAGGCTCAGCAGAAGATGGTAAAAAAGACAGCTCTTATTTAGGATATGCATTTCCACTTTTTTATGTAACAAATATCTTTCAATTACATAGTAAGAAATAAGGTCAATTATAATCAAGCGTGCTTTCTTCTCTCATTTATCCTCTTTCTGTAAATAATATTTGAGATCGAGCATTTTTGTTGCTAAGAGAGATATTGCTACAGGTTTCTTAAATCACTGTATATTTTGAGAAATCTAGCCAGAAACAGCTCTCAGATTCAATTCAGTTCACCTTTAACTGTAGAAGTTTCATTTGCGAGAGAAATAGTCTACACTGCAGACCTGTGAGAGGTTTTCAGCTTTTATGGGCCCAGGACACTGAATACCTCAAAAAACATGGATAAATTTATAATTATTTGAGAAAGGAGGGCAGGACTGATGCTCCTGAGTAGATGTACTACAGCAGTTGGTTTCAGTTAACTAAGTGCTGGAGATATGTCTATGCCATTTCATAATAGAACAGAGCAGGCCATCTTCTGAAGTGGCACATCATCTCCAGCACTAACAAACATGTCTCTGGCATCAGTAAGAGATTCACAAGTACTCTTCAGTGCTCATTAAAAAAATCTAAACTGATGCAGTTGCAGTCTTCAACTGACAAGTCACTTCTCTGCTTTAAGGAAGCGTTAACATTTCAACATATTTTCCACCCCACAATAAAACTGGCAGCTACAGACAGTACTTTTAGTGCCTAATACTTAGTAATTGGACATCATATAAAACCCATACAAGAGGTTCTAAACATAGGAAATAGAAGAATATAGGAAAAACAATTACTTTGTTCACGTCACTCCACATGCAGCCTGCTATAGTTAGGTTCTGATCATTGCCCAAGTATTTGTAAGTGCAAATTTCATTTTATTTTTTTTTTTAGCAGTTTGTTTCATTTCTCACACATCACATTTGCCTCAGAAGACATTAGCATATTTTGCTCTTTCCACTGACTACCTCCAGTCTGGATCAGTCCTTTTATCAGGCAACACACCATAGGGAAGCGATGGCAAAGCACCTTATGTCACAGCTGCTACAGACTGCACTTCTCTGCAGACACAGTTTCCTTGCTAAACTTCATCACCAATTGTTATTCATTCTCTGTCTTTGCTCCAAATTTGCAGACTTTCACAAAACAACCAACACTCAAAGAATTTCAACACGTGAATTGCTAAATTGTTGATGGAAGGAATTATTAAGGAACAAAAATTGCTCTTTCATTGTCAGCGTATCACACAGCTAGTTTGTTTTCTCCTCTAAATGCCAGGAAAAAAAAAAAAAATAAAATAAAGAATTTCATATTGGATTCTCTGCAGAAATGTATTCACTTGCTCTAACTGCCACAAGTGATCTGTTTTCAAACTACTTCTCAGTAACCAAGTAGAGGCCAAAACAAGGTCAGAGTCTGCAGTTCACTTCAAGTGCAAGATTTTGGAAATTCTTCCTCTATGTAGAAGTCAACCTTATTAAAAATGCCCATACTTTGCTTATAATGCAAAGTGGTCTTTATTTCTCTCATTTTGATTGTATACAATGTTTTGAAAACCATTTTGCAGTTCATCTACAATCAAACATATGGGCATTGCAATTCAGGTCTGTAATCTTATTTCCTTGTATTACAAAATGATATTTAGTATTTGCATGAATAGAACAACAATTTGGAAAATCATTTCTTGCTAATATAAAACTGAAATTGCTGTGCAATTGTACCTAAATAATTGTTAAAAAAAAAAAGAAGAAAAAAAAACACCTTTGATTTTTTTTTGTTCTCCGAAAAGCTGGTTTCATTTGGTCTGTTTTGCTTTGCTTCAATTAAACAAAATGCTAATAAATACTCTATAGTAACTGTTTTCTTGCTATCTTTATTACCAACAGGTTTGCTCTGGAGAAGAACCATTGAAAAAGTAGCATTTTTGTTCAGCCATTCAATCTGTATATTCAAAGTGTTCACAAAATACTATCTATAACTTTGATATGCTGCACGCCCTTAGTAGGGACAACCAAGGAAAGGCACAGACCCAGGAACAGGGCACGCACAAACTAATTATTATTGTATAAAATCTCAGCAGCTGCATTTCTTAGTCTACTGCATGATTTCTACCTACATTGCTTTTTGATGAACAAAATAGTCATGGCTACAGAACAGCAACAAAAGCAGCATAAAGACTTGAATGAATGAATATGGTCCAATATTTTCCAGCTTCTAATTTATCTAACAGCTAAAACTTACAGTAAGTGGACTGGTTTTAGTTTTGAAAAGTTTAAGTCTTTTCATTCATTGCCCAATTTTCTTTTAAAATATTTTTATTGGGAAAAGCATGTGCTCCTTTACTAACTTATGTTTAGGTAACTGCTTTTAAGAGCCCTGGGAAATGGTCAGAAAGACCACTTCAGATAAGCGGTGTTTATATATAACTGCCAGTATTGTTCATTAGACTGAAACGTTATATCAAAGGTTTAATAAAAACAAAAAGAACAAGAAATACACATTTATTTTGCTTTCATTCACTATAAGTAAACAAAGCTTTTCTGGCACCCCAGCAAAATTTCTTTCCCTCCTTTAAGATGAATTAAGAACTAATACAAACTTTTTCAAGATGAATTTTCCCACAGATTGATAGACAGATATTTTTATCCCCTACGTGAAAGTTCTACATAATTTTCATCTCTATACATGACTTAGATGTGACCCAGTTTTCTGTAAGTCTCTAGCTTACACCATATCAGCACTGTGTCTCAGAATCCAATTTGTTGAGTAGAACCATCATATTAGTCTTCAAAACTGTCTCTTTTTTACCTTTTGAGATGAATGAAGCTTCTACTGTACATCACTCCTAAAAGACACCAGACTAGAATTCAAGATTTCCAGAACATATAGGCCCTTTGTTATGACCAACCTCAGCAGAATCATCAGTATTATTCAGGAGACCAGATAAGAATTGTTTGAGGTTTAGATATATAATCTCGATGTGTAGGTCAGAAATCTATCCACCTTGTAATATTAAAAATACTATTTATGTACAGGAAGAAGGGAAATCAACTACTCTGCAGACATACTGGAGAGCTTTTACTGTGCAAGTCAAGTGCTGAGTTCTCATCTCTTTACACATTGTCCCACTAGAAGACTGCAGATGAACTTAGCTGCAATCCCAGAAGTTCTGAATTTCCTTCCTGTCATGAAGTCAGCCAGACAATAGCTTAATACAAACAAGAGACTTACATGTGTTCTCACATCTTGGGCACAGAAAGAATTTCACATTATTTACCTGGCAGTAAGCACACAGCAGATTGCTAGACAATTGTGATGCAAGTACAGAGGTATATCTATACCAGTTGTTCTTTTTAAAACCACAGTAGTTACTAAGCCTAACCTTTCTTCTAAGAACCTTTTTCAGTGAAATATTAATTTATCAGATTCAAAACATTCACAGGACATTTGTATTTCTGCGGCCATCTTTTACCCCACTGTTTTCTCTGTGAGAAGCACAGTTCTTTCAAAATGTTCAATTTCTATGAAAGCATGAGCTGAAGCACAAATTACCTCACCAAAGTATTTCAGACTACTTACCTTGTGGCTTTGGATTTGAGGCTGAACGTGGGGACTGTTTGACTGGCACACTTCCATTTATTCCCTGAGCCGCTTCATTGTGTACATTCTGCTCAACTAGCCTGGTTGTGGCACTTGCTGGACAAGATCTAGACAATATTAAGGATTTCGTACAGACGCTGTTGCCTGAAAAATATATTCAAAAAGTGAGTTAGAAACAGAATTAAATGCATGGTAAAATGATTATATACACGTATATTAAGTGCTACTGCCTCCCTACAGAGAAAATTAGAATGCTTGTCTTCACTTTGAAGCATCCCATTGTAAAAACAGAGACTGCCTTCCACTGAGATGCATTACATTGTTTAAATCTCAGTATATATAAAAAAATATATAAAAACCTATCCCAGGTTATTCTAGAGAAAGCTTACGATCTCTAACTGACTTCTTGCTATCTTTATTATCAACAGGCTTGTTTAGGAGAAGAACCACTGAAAAAATAGCATTTTTGTTCAGCCATTCAATTTGTGTACTCAGAGTATTCACAAAATACTGTACATTCAAAACGTTTCTTTTTCTTTCTTTTCAAGAGCTACTAATTACACCATTAAAAATGAAAGCAAAGCAAAAAGACAGTTGACATTTCTATTTCATTTTGTCTTAGCAGAGTGGAGTTTATTTTACCTGAGAAGGCTAATACGATGCCATTTGTAAGAAAACTGGATGAACAAATAAAGGAAAATATATCTGAATGACAGAAATTGTAGTAAAAGCATGTATTAGAATGTACTCACATGGGCCTAGACTATGCACTTTTGGATGTGTGTGTGTGTGGAAGTTTTTCATTCTAAATGTAATTAAAAGGTTTAAAATACTACTGTGAAGGAACTTGATATCTCAATTAAGTTAATATTCCTTCATCTCTAACTCAAATAAACCCACAACTTTGTTTGTGGGGAGGAACAAGGGATGGGAGAAACATCCACTTCTCATTTATTGCAGTGTTGCCTTGATTATTTTCATTAAAAAAAACCAAACAACTATGGTAGACTTCGAACACTTACATTTATTATTTTCCTTTGCCATCATTTTTATCTTTATCTTTGCTTGCTTCTATTGACAGAAATGCAAGTATAGTCGGGGTTTTGTTTACTCATTTCCAAAAAAAAACAAATTCAAAACCCAGCCAACCATTCATTTCATAAGGCAATCCTCTTCTGTCTTCTAAACAACTGATCTGCAGAGTCTGGAAGCACTGATCTAATGCATCTTCCTATCCCAAGGCAAAATCCATTATATCAAGCCATTCCCAGCAACAGCCAAGCACACTCATTAAAAAGCAGCGGAAAGAGATTCCAGAGCTATTGCTTACCACTGTTTAAAGGCTCTTCAGCACCATGTAGATTGCAACAATATTTTAAAGTACTTATGTTTTATTTCTTAGAAGCTTAATTTCTTTTTAAACGCTGAAGTAGCACTGCACCAAGAAGCTGCTTTTGCAAACACAGAGACTTGCGGAAGTTTTTGCTGAGATCAACAACCCACCCAGCCAAGGCGCTGGTACTCATATCACAACATGCACAGGACATCTGTGGCTGCAACATGGCATCACTCCCTCTTCCATCATTCAGTAAGCAATGCCATCTCCCGAAAGTAAAGGTGGCTGGTGCCAGAATAATTATTTAATGAGGCCCACTGCATGTGGACACTTCTCAGACACCCATGATCTCAGGCAGAAATTCTTCAGCTCTGTTTCCTTGGGTATCTCCATACACAAAACGCCATCTTGTACTATAGCAATAGGAACTCTGTCCCAGATCTTTCCTCATTTCATGAGGATTCACCTGAAGTGCCATTCCTGCCTCTCTACATAGAGTGGAGTACTGAAATTTCTTGGACAGACAAAGGAGATGGCACAAGCCATGTAGGAGCAAGTCCTCCTGATGCTCATCAAAGAGTTGAATTTCTCTCCACCACAGAATCCCATATCATATTGTAACTGCTCACACTTTAACTTGGAAATCTCCAATTTAGAAACAATTTTAAGAAACAACAACTCCTGGCAGGATCAGTACATCCCACACATTGTGTAGGCAATTGAACATATGTTAGAAATCTACATTCAGATCAGGCTTTAACTCTGCATGACATCCTAGAGCTTTATGAAAACTGTTCAGACTGTAGATTTGACAGATAACACACTTCTTCAGGACTTCAAGCTCTACAACTGCAGATCAGTAAAAAGGGCATTGCTAACTGTCCAGGCCAAAGCTGGAAATCTCCATCAGAATTGTACCTTTGTAATTTATTGAAAAGATTCTCTAAGAAAGCAAGGTACTGCCAGGGTCAGAATGGGAATATTCTTTCCATACACAAACTTATCACAGTGCTTTGTCTTGTTTTAAGTTAACACTCACAATCAGATACAGAGCTAAAGAGTTGCTAAAGAGGGCAATTCCGTTCTCTGCTTCTCACCTTGTCACCATTTAGTCTGGTTTCCTCTCCTGGCTACTTCCCACCCCAGGCTTGGAGGGGAGCACCAGCACTTGTACAACTACACAGTGAGACAAGCAGTAGAAATGATACAACAGTAAGATGGATTACACAGATGGGGTCAGTGAACCCATGGCCACTCCAGCACTGCTAGCTGGCATAAGGGAAGAGGCAGGAATACAGCTGGCCTTCTTTAACAGCCCTTACTTACTATCTTCAATTCACTCTTGTTTGTGTGAGCCATTATACGAGCAATTCACTCTATCTAGAAGGCATATTTGCTACAGACTGACACACCACAAACATTTAAGACACATTCTGAACTTGTAATTCTGTTAACCATCTCACATCCTCAAATCAAACAATTTTGAAGAGTAATATAGCCATAACAGGATAAATAAAATATGTTCAGCTTCCTTCACATGGAAAGCTGGAATGGAAAAAGGTAATCTAGCTACAATGTGCTTCTAAGCAAAATCAAGAAGTTACATTCTTTGGACAAAAAGCATTAACATCCCTGGCAATCTAAATCCTGGTTTCTTGTCAGTGAAAGTTAATACCTTCCAGGTGATGTAGGCAAAAAAGAATTGTCAAAAATACAGGAATATTCACTACAGATATGCATCTAGTAGCAAAGGCTTGGAAGTATATTATAAGCAAAGTTCCAAATACCTTGATTTCAGTGCATACAAAAAACACCAAATGCTCCACAAGCAGTGGCCTGCATTTCATAGAATCATAGATGTTGGAAAAGATGAGTACAGTTAAAAAGATTTAGTTCAAACACCAACCTATCCCCACACCATGCCCACCTACCATGCCCCTTTATGCCATATCTACAATCTACATGTTTCTTGAACACCTCCAGTGATGGTGACTCCATCTCCTCCCTGGGCAGCCTGTTCCAATGCAGGACCAGCGCTTCATCTTGTTAAAGCTCATTCATATTTCAGTAGGGCTGTCCAATTCTGTCCATTTAAGCAAGCATTTAAGTAAGACAGTCTACACTTTAGAAGTGCAACAACAAAGTTGTAAGCGCAACTTAAAATCCAATTACATATATAAAATGCCAGACATGCTGCAAAAGCTTACAGATTCTGCTGAGCTGAAATAGGTTCCTACTGTAGTTGATTCTGATCTGATTAAAGAAGCACTCACGTGTTGCTGTGGTTATATGTGTTACAATGACTGAGATATTGATTGAACTCAGAAATGCAATGAGCAACAAAATACTAGCCGATTCCTGTGTTCGTTCACCAATACTTCACTAATTCTGCCTCTTGTAATTGGGAATGATTAGATACCCTGAAGTGAAGAGAAGGGAGAGATTTTAAAACTTTTTAATGGGTTCAAGCAAGAATGCAAGTGATAAAGCAGAGGTAATAAATAACTGGCAGAAAAGATAAACACTCCAAATTTGATAAGCACTTAATTGTTTTCATCATAATTTGCAAGAAAACTGGAAGATGTTTGAAGCTAAGAAGCATTATCTAATTTTCCAGAGCATTTTAATTAAAAGTAACTGGAAGCCATGAATATTTAGCCAGCTTGAAATGCCAGTAACATGAAAAAATTGCTGATTTGTTTTTACAAGAGATTAAACTAATATTTTGATATTGCATAGGTCCTCTATCAGCAGTCCCAGCTTCACTAAGACAGGCTAAACACCATTAGATTTTCTGTCATATCTGTTTTACTCCTACCATCTGTACTTATCCATCACCACTTAATTTTTTACTTCCACTGTGATCTTACTCTTACATTCTGAACGAAAGAAATGCAGCACTTCTGTATGTAACCCTAGCCTATGAGGGAAAGGGTTATTCTCCTGTGACTGTTTGGAGGCAAATTTAAGTCTCAAAATCAGGTTTATTTCTTTTCAAATGATGTAACTATATATGCAACCAGTGTGTTAAGTTCTCAGGATAGCTGCCATATCCTTGATGTAATATTGCCACACTTTCTCATGCAGCATCAAGGCAAAGCTTCACCCTTGCTACTCACCCTCATCACATATGGAGGTGCAGCTAATATTCCCCCTACTGAACTTGTAACAAAAACATCAGTTTAGCCACAGTAATCTTGTCTTACAATCTCCTGGTCAGTTCAAAATAGCGCTAAGTAGCACTAATACTAAAACAGATTCATTCAACCCTTCACTTGTTCACTAAGCACTTGCGGAACTGTAGCAAGGACAGTATGAAGACGAGCAGTTTTCTGAATACAGACAAGAAGGCAGCTAGAGAACTCTTGCACAGGAACTTATAATAATTTGTTGAGGCCTGAGCAGGAAATCTAGTAAATCAGACCATGGATTTTACCCACAGCTGTGCCCAAACCTGCCCTCAAAAATAATTTTCTAAGAACTTACGTGGTACCTACTACTCATGGGTTTGTCCTCTTTGTGAGGAACACATACCAGACAACGAGATGTATGCTACTAACTGCACACCCAAACATGTTTTAGGAACAACTGCTTAGACTAACCCAAACTATGTACATTAGGAGTATGGAAGAAAGTAGGAAGTCTGGAGGTCTAAGTTACTCTCATGAAACAAAAACAAAAAACAACCTTTTGCCAAATTCTATTGAATGCTATCCTCTCAAAGTAATTACACATATGAGTTTGGATACATTTTCTCCTTTCTCATCAAAGTGATGATAGAGTTGTAAATGCTTTGCAGCTTTAGAAC